TGGTCTTATGGCACTTGGCAAACAACAATTTGGTGCATTACCGCCACCAACTGGATTGGAGTGGAATGACTACCAATCACTTCCTGTTTGTGCATCACCATCTGAATAACCCTCTTATGACCATAATTAAAACAGGGCCGCCTGTTTTTTCTTTTTTTTTATCTTATGGCTGTAAAATTGTAATAAAAAGTGCAAAGTGTGTGTAACTCTTCTCCTTTTTTCAGAACAACCTCAGCTTTCAGTGTATGGTTTGTATTTGGAATTTATTTCTATTAAAGCCTTTAAAAAATCAGCATAAAAGTGAAAAAAGCAAAAAACGTATTTGAATTTTTTACATTTATTACTGAGCAGGAACTTCAAAATTACTGGGCAAACAATTTGGAATGAACACTTTAAACTTTGAACTGTAATGCATCTATTCTTAAAAAAAGTGTGAGCCTTGGTATCTTTTATAGCAGTTTTTAAGACCATTTATTTTTGTAAACTTTTAGACGTTTTTCTTTGATGTGGTAGGCCTTGAAGCAGTTTCTCTCCAGCTGCAGGCAGAGTCCCACTCTGCACACCTCACACTGCCATGGGGTAATTCTCTTGCACACCGTGCACTGCTGTACCAAAAACTTTTGTTTTGGCAAAAATAATTATTTATTATAAAAAGATAAATAATGCTGGAATGAAGCTGAATCTGTCATGTTCTGTGTCCCTCTGTCCCCAGCCTCCTCCAGGTTCTCCTCTTATGTCCCATGATTATTCCCTCCTGCTTTGTTCTTTCCCCATTTAGTTTATTGAATACACCTGCCTTCCCCCCTGAGATCACTCACACCTGTCACCTGTTCCCCTGATCACCTCCCTCTGTGTTTAAAAGCCCTGTCTTGTCCCTCAGTGTTCGTCGGTCCATTGCGTTGTGTCTGTGTTGTTCTGGTCCTTCCCGAGTTTTGCCCGAGTCAGTGCTCAGTTGTGAGCTTCTGTTTTTGTTTTTGGATTGCTCGATCAAGTCTCCTCCTTTAAATAAAGGATTTACTTATTTACATCTGCTCCTGTCTGGTATTTTCTGCCTTTTTGGGTCCAAACCTCCAGCTCAGCGTGACAGAATCTTACAATTAGCAAATAGTTGAGGGTTGTTCAAATAAAAAATAAAGACTGAACAAGCATTCGTACCCTAGTTCACTGGAGATCTGTCCTTCTTCGTGGTCACTGTCTTCAGATGTAAGCCTTCTGGGACACCTAATAGATAGTGTTGATTCTCTTTGAGGTATTTCTATAATTTCATGCCGGCTTTTTTTGCTAATTCGCTTCCCCGTTCCGTTATCCGCTTTCACCGCGGCGCTGTGCTCCGTTTCAATCAGGCTGTACAGCAGGATTTCCATAACTGATTGCTTCATGCTATAAATCGTTGGAAGTGCGGGCATCGTCTGGTGTACGCCAGCTGATGCCACCACACCACCCCACTTGCACCCACAGCCCTCAGTGTCTAAGTGCAGTTTAAAATTGGAAGTGGGCACCGGCACTCGGGATGAGGCTGAAAAATCCCCCTGCCAAATGCAGTTGAATGTGCTCACTCCCAAGGCCCTAAGTGTGTGTTTGCGTGGAATTTCGTTAGTGGAAGTGTTTAAGGTGCAAATAAAATTGGGGGGCAGGTTGCCACAGGAATGCGGAAATGGGGTCCATACTCCCTGACTTGTCAACTCCCCAAGGTCCTATGTGTATGTTTGTGTGATGATGTGAGGGAGCAGGAGGAGAGAAATGTGAGGGGATGAGGAGAAATGACTGGTTGGACTTAAGCCTTCCAGGGAGCCAGCTCCTCTACTGGCCCCAATAGGCACCTCTGTTCTCAAAATGCCACCCAGAGCATGGAGACCCCAGCCCATCTTGCCAGGGCCCAAAGCAGCAGCATCACAGAGCCTCACGGGGTCAGAGAGCTCCAGCCCAGCCCCACCCCAGCAGAATATCTTCTCCCATCCCTGCATTTGCACAACTTCCAGAACATATAAGACATAGGACATCCAGGTTGGTCCTCCCTCTCCTGGAAATCCCCCTGCCCTGTGATAGGACAGCAGAGGAGCCAAGGTCTGCCTGAGGCCCCTGATCCCGAGCCAGGCACTGCCGCATGTTCCCGCCTTCTTCCCGGCAGCATACATGTCAGGACCCGACCCCCAAGGCCCTATTTTTCAAACATTGCATTGAGTTCAGTTCAAATGTTTTCCAATTAGTTAAAAGTTTCCCACCTAATGAAACTCAGCAGACTGCATCGAGTCACTGACTTGTTGTGTCAGAGACTTGACATCGATCCCCATACTAACGACGGGGACACACCAGCCGCGGAAGCGCCGCGAAGCGCCGAAAAGCGAATCGCTCACGAAATTCGGCCGCTGCTCGCCGCTCCTCAGTTCAGATCAGACACGCCCCAGTCGAGGCGCGCCTCGGCTCAGCTGTAGATTTTCTTTTAAACACTTGGTGTCCTCCACTTCCTCTCTGCCTTTTCTCAGCTCTTTTCCTCTACGTTTGAGTGTTTGTACGTGTGTGTGTGTGTGTGTGTGTGTGTGTGTGTGTGTGTGTGTGTGTGTGTGTGTGTGTGTGTGTGTGTGTGTGTGTGTGTGTGTGTGTGTGTGAACCTATGGTATGAACCAGTTTTTTCTGCCAGTTGAATCTCTTGGAACCCGCTCCAATTCTGCAGCTGTATCCTAGCAGTTTCTTCCGAAATGGGTACGTTAATAACCATGTTTTTCGGGGATCGTACAGCTCCTTGTGTTTCTCAACTTCCATAATTAATTTAAAGTCATCCATCTTAACTGCTTGCCTCAGACTTTCTGCCTCACGCCGGGGACACACCGGCCGCGGAAGCGCCGCGAAAATGGGACCGCCTTCATTCGGCGCCCTTGTTAAGCTATTCTATAGCCCACATGGGCCGCCGAAGCGCCGCGAATCGCCGCTCGCCGGCGCTCCGGCCCGCGCCGTGCAGAGATCATTTTGGCGTCGGCTCTATTTTTTTCGCGAGCCGTGGGTGAATCGTGTCAATTCTGGCAGGAAGTCAAACCTAGAGATAAGAGGCAGGCCAGTAAAGTTAACAAAATAAAGCATTTCAAAATAAAATTCCGCAATAGTCAAATGTGTTCGTAATCAGACACTGCAGAAAAACCACACGAACACACACACACATACACACACATCGAACTTGTGTGCGTGTGTGACCACGTGAAGGGGTGTGTGGTTTTGGGTGTCTTTTTTCCAGAGCAAACAGGACAGAGAGGCAGAAAGTCTGAGGCAAGCAGTTAAGATGGATGACTTTAAATTAATTATGGAAGTTGAGAAACACAAGGAGCTGTACGACCCCCGAAAAACATTATTTACGTACCCACTTCAGAAGAAACTGCTAGGATACAGCTGCAGAATTGGAGCGGGTTCCAAGAGATTCAACTGGCAGAAACAACTCATACCATAGGTTCACACACACACACACACACACACACACACACACACACACACACACACACGTACAGTCAAACGTAGAGGAAAAGAGCTGAGAAAAGGCAGAGAGGAAATGGAGGACACCAAGTGTTTAAAAGAAAAACTACAGCTGAGCCGAGGCACGCCTCGACTGGGGCGCGTCTGATCTGAACTGAGGAGCGGCGAGCAGCGGCCGAATTTCGTGAGCGATTCGCTTCTCGTGCTTCGCGGCGCTTCCGCGGCCGGTGTGTCCCCGGCATCTCTGTCCTGTTTGCTCCGGAAAAAAGACACCCAAAACCACACACCCCTTCACGTGGTCACACACACACACAAGTTCGATGTGTGTGTATGTGTGTGTGTGTTCGTGTGGTTTTTCTGCAGTGTCCGATTACGAACACATTTGACTATTGCGGAATTTTATTTTGAAATGCTTTATTTTGTTAACTTTACTGGCCTGCCTCTTATGTCTACGTTTGACTTCCTGCCAGAATTGACGCGATTCACCCACGGCTCGCGAAAAAAATAGAGCCGACGCCGAAATGATCGCTGCACGGCGCGGGCTGGAGCGCCGGCGTGAGGTGATTCGCGGCGCTTTGGCGGCCCATGTGGTCTACAGAATAGCTTAACAAGGGCGCCGAATGAAGGTGGTCACATTTTCGCGGCGCTTCCGCAGCCGGTGTGTCCCCGGCGTAATCAAGCATGTAGCTACAGTGGACAGGAAAACTCCCCATTAACAGGAAGAACCCTCCAACAGAACTTGGCTCAGTATGAACTGAGCCATCACTCCGACTGACTGTGGGTTTGAGACAGAGCAGTGGTGGTGATGGTGGGGTGTTCTTATTGATTACTCAGGCTGGTTTTTTTGAGAGGCGTGGCTAATTTAATGTCTCAGACTTAATAATTATTCCCTTATTTATCTTCTAAACTCAGCAAGAGATGCTGGACATCTTGGACAGTCCATCTCTGGGACAAAGGGAGACAAACAAGATGTATTACTTACATCTAGGAACAATTGAGAGTCTTCAATTAACCTAAAGATGTTTTTGGGGGGTGGGGGGAACCCGAGCACCGGGAGAAAACCCACGCATACATGGGGAGAACATGCTAACTCCACACAGCAAGACTACAGCTGTCATGATCTGTGCTGCATAACCATCTCTGCTGAGTGTTTTACAGGTGGGTGTGTCTGGAGAGCCCAGCTGTGCCAAATCAGCTCATCAGCGATCAGGGGATTTAAGGAGCAGCTGGACATCTCACCATTGCCAGACGATACTCAGTCTTGGGTAGTTTCTAGCTCTCCTTTTGACCTTCCTAAAACAATTTTAGAATTACTTTGTCTATTTGTTCCTGCCCTTCTGGCAGTTAACCTGCTCTGCCCTCCTGATTCCTCCAGGTTCCAGTCATCTGTTCATCTCCACTCTCTGCTATATCTTTGGAACCATCTACCACATTCCAGTCCTGCTGTTTGCCCCTGATCGCCAGCTCTCCATCACCCCACCTATCCACCTGCAGCTCCTCGGTCTCCCCATCCAGCCAGGTCTGACTAACCCCCCCCCCCCCCACACACACACACACACAAAATACCGGATCATTCAGGAAACAGTAAGCCTTCTTATTTTTTCATCATCGTCTCACGTTGCTCCAGACTCTGACCTCTCTTCCTCTCTCAGACCCCACGGATCCCTCCAGTCCTGCAGAAGCTTCGGCTACCTCTCCCATTCAAAATAAATCATTTAAACTTACCTTCTGTCTCTCGATGCTGATTCTTCATGTCGTGGGTCAAGAAATTACCCTCAAACATGACAACAGCTGAGATTTCAACCTGCAACCTTGTTGAGAGGCAACAGTGCTAATCACTGTGTCACCATGATGCCCCTTTTTTTCATAAGGGGGAGGGGGGTGAGATGGACAAGTCAGGTCATGAACATAAAAGAACGGCCTCCCTGTGGTCTCTAACAGACACGACTGATCACCAGCGTTTAAACACAAGCTAAGCTAAAAACGTGGGTTTTCAGACGCCACAGAAACTCGTGGGAGAGGACCGTGTCACCGCCTGAGTGGGTTCGATAGGGGCCGTCAAACTAAAATCAGGAAGTCGGTGTAAGTCTGCTAAAATAGGGGTAATCATATTCACTCGTCATCAGATTAGCTGTTTCTTGAGGGGGAGTGGTTAGTCGTCAGATGTGCGTTTGTGTTTACGGAGACACGTCGGAGTTATACACTTCTTGAAGCATCTCCACTTGGAGATCTTTTCCCGTTTGCTGCTGACGGATTGTGGAAGTTCTCCTTGGGACCTGCAGTTTATTAAAAACTCGTTTGGCTCGGTGTCTTCCATATTTTCTAATGTGATGAGATCCTTAACCCTGTTGAGCTCAGACTGCAGACCGAGTCTCCGCTGTTGCTCTGCTATAAACTGCTTCTCCAGTTTATCACAGAGACTCGTTTTTGACTCCAGTTTCTCATACAGTTCATGCATGAGGGTAAGTCTGTTGGAGAAACCGTCTTTCAGGTTTTCACAAAGAGAAGTTTTATGTTGCAGCTGCTGCTCGACGCTCTGCAGCTCCTGAGCTAGCTTCCTGTCTGATTCGGCTCTTTGAACGTTCTGCTGGTCGATCACCAGGCAGAGATCCGAGTTTCTCTGCTTTAAATCGATGATTTCGTTTTTGAGGTGACAATTCTCACTACTTATAGCTCTGTTTTTATCCAGCTCCGCCTCATAACTCAGTCTGAGCTTTCTCTCTTCAGTGAGATTGTTTTGGAGTATTTCACAAGTTTGTGTCAGCTGTGTTTTAAATTTCTCTACTTCCTCATTTCTTCCGCAGCTCAGTTGGTACATCGTGACACAGAGATAGATGTTTCTCTGCTGCAACTGGTCTTTTTCCTGCTTCAGCTGAGAAATCTCAACGAGTTTCACTTTGTTTTCCATCAGTTCAGCTTCATTATTAAGTCTAAGCTGTCGTTCTTTGGTCAGACTCTCTCGAAGCTCTTCGCAGACAGAAGTTTTACGTTGCAGCTGCTGCTCGACGCTCTGCAGCTCCTGAGCTAGCTTCCTGTCTGATTCGGCTCTTTGAACGTTCTGCTGGTCGATCACCAGGCAGAGATCCGCGTTTCTCTGCTTTAAATCGATGATTTCGTTTTTGAGGTGAGAATTTTCACTTATTATAGCTCTGTTTTTATCCAGCTCCGCCTCATAACTCAGTCTGAGCTTTTTCTCTTCAGAGAGAGTGTTTTGGAGTTCTTCAGAAATTTCTGTCAGCTGTGTTTTAAAGTTCTCCAGTTCCTCGTCTCTTCTGGTTCGTAGTTGTTCGCAGACTGAAGTCTTTTCTGTAAGCTGTGTCTTCAAGCTGTCCAACTCCATAACAAATGTCTTCTCCAGTTCAATTTTCCTGAAGCTCTCCTTCTCTATCATCTGGCAGAGATCCGCGTTTCTCTGCTTTAAATCGATGATTTCGTTTTTGAGGTGAGAATTCTCACTAATTATAGCCCTGTTTTTATCCAGCTCCGCCTCATAACTCAGTCTGAGCTTTCTCTCTTCAGTGAGATTGTTTTGGAGTATTTCACAAGTTTGTGTCAGCTGTGTTTTAAATTTCTCTACTTCCTCATTTCTTCCGCAGCTCAGTTGGTACATCGTGACACAGAGATAGATGTTTCTCTGCTGCAACTGGTCTTTTTCCTGCTTCAGCTGAGAAATCTCAACGAGTTTCACTTTGTTTTCCATCAGTTCAGCTTCATTATTAAGTCTAAGCTGTCGTTCTTTGGTCAGACTCTCTCGAAGCTCTTCGCAGACAGAAGATTTCTGCTGGAGCTGCTGTTTACAGCTCTCCAGCTCTTCAGACATCTCATCTGCCTTAGCTAGCTTCTCGCTGAGCTCCACGTTTGTCTTGTTCAGATCGATTGTTAGTTTTTTCATGTTTCCGCTCATCACACTAATCTGATCTTTGGTTTCTTTCAGCTCTTTTTCACAGAGCAGACGACGCTGGCTTTCTTTGCTGAGACTCTTTTCTAGATTTTCACAAACCAGTTTCTTTTCTTTGAGCTGGTGTTTGAAATAGTTTTGCTCTCCTAGACGTTTTGTCTCTGCGAGTCTTTGGTCTCTCTTGACTTTATCCAGCATCTTTCTTAAGTCACTGTTCTGTCTCTTCAGGTCTCTGACCTCCTTCAGGTTTTCGTTCACCGTGACTATATGCTGGGAGTTCTTCAGGTCTTGCTCATAGCTGAGTCTGAGCTGGCGTTCCTGGTTTAAATTGTCCTGCAGATTTTCACAGAGCAAGTCTTTTTGTTCAAGCTGCTGTTTGAAACTCACCTGCTTATCGTCAAGTTTCTTTTCAGTCTTGATTCGGTCTGCGTTTTCATCACTCAGCTGCATTTCCAGATCCATAATCATAGTTTCCAAACCTTTTCTTGGTATTCCAGAAAACCTAGAGCCCTCTTCTGTTTCTCCTTTAAGATCAGAGCAGATCTGATTTAAATCCTCGTTTACGTTCTTCTGCTCCTGTAATTTCATGTCCAGCGTCACAAACTTGTTCTGCTGACAATCCATCCACTTGTCTAATTCTTCAGTCTGTTCTATAAATGATAGGTAGCAAGCTTCTGCTGCCACTCTTTTGTCATTTTCCTGTTTCAGAAGTTCCTGAAGAGGAATCTTTGGCTCAGCAGAAATAGTGGATTGGTTTTCGGTTTCCTTAAACTCAGGAGTCTCCATTTCTTGTTTAAGGGTCACCTGCTGTTCACAGTCCATATCAAAGTCAATTATTTCATCATAATCGACTTCCACCTGTTGTACAACCATTTCGTACCACGAGAGCTCAGATTTACTTGAAATCTTGTGGTTTGACATGTGGTTGCTAATGGTAGGGTAAGCCATGACAGAGCGATGTGCTAGTCAGCCGACGTCAGTCACTACTGAAATGAGAGTGTGCTCTGAGCAGAGTTCTCTTGCCTTTATGATGTCATCAGCTTGCCTGTACCCTTTATGTTTGCCCTTTTTTTGTTGTTGTCCCGTTGCCTAGCAACCATGGCAGATTCCACAACAAATGAATTCCAAAATGTTCAAAATGTAATAAATAAATAAAACATTATGTAATATGTATCTACATAAATATGTGATCTGACAATGAAATTATGAAAAAACTTTATTTTATGTTTTATGCAAAATATTATTAATTTTGTTTGATTCTATTAAAATGTGTGTGTATATATATTTTTATATATATATATACACACACATTTACATATATGTCTATATGTATGTATGTATGTATTAATAAATAAATATATATAAACATACTAGTTTGCTCTTTCTGCATTGAGCGTCTGCAATGAAATTTCATTCCTGTTGCACAGACGTGACATTAAAAAGAATCTATCAATCATCTATCTATCAATCATCTATCTATCTATCTATCTATCTATCTGTCCATCCATCCATCCGTCCGTCCGTCCGTCTGTCTGTCTGTCATATTCTGTGCCTACCTTTTTTCTCAACGACTGAAAGAGCAAGTCACCCCCTACCAGATTATTACTCAACTCCCACTTCCTGTTTGAAAAATGCAACAAATGATGTTGCCTAGCAGACAGACAGGGCAGAGCTGCTAACAAATACACACACTCACGACATTGTGACATCATAATCTACCATCTAACATCATGGTGTACCTCTTAGCCAATAGCGATGTCAGATTTAAATTCAAACGTAGTGCAGAGTTTTTACCTGACGACGGTGCATCGCTGACAGTTTTAGGCAGAATGTTTAAATTTTAACTAAGATGCACTAAAATGCCAAATTATTGACTACATTTGTCTACAGCACGATCAGACACTCATTTATATAGTTTATCGGCAAAAAAATGTTGATTTGAAGCGACTTGCTCTTTAAAATAACAGGATCTGGAACCTTTACAAAAAAACAAGAACTTTGAACTAATTTCTGTACCGAACTGGGATTGCCCCATCACTTCTCATTGAGAGCCCACTCTGTTTCTAATATGTTCCTGATAACCACACGGTGACCCTGCTAAGACCATCCTCATTGCGTCTACTTTTAATGTTGTGGTGTTGTCTTTGTTCTGTGTGAAGGGCTCTTGAGCATTTTGCTTTCACTGAAATTGTGAGAGTGTGCAGCTTAATCCAGGTGTGACCCTAACCAGTGTTGCTTCTGTTGTTGAGTGCATGAGAAGACAAACTCAACTTGTTTATATTATTTCAGTTTTATGTGGTACTCAGCCGAAGTACTGCCCTGTACTCAGACTGGTTTTGAAGACATGAAAATGAACTGTACGTATTTCAGGAAGTCATGAAAAATATCTGTTGACTGGCCACACACTCAGCACGCCTGCTTTTATTCTCCTTATCGACTGCTCGCAGAGCTCTAAAAATGAGGAACCCTCCTTGAAAAAAACTGTCAGACAGGAAAATCAGGCTTTATGAACACAAAACAAAACCTCGTGGAGCTTTGATATCTTGTGTAAAATCGAAGTATTTGTTTAAAGGCTAAAATGTGTTACCCAATTTTTATTTGGTGCCTTGGTGAAACATAAAGCCTGCTGAGCCTTTGGTGTTCTATTATTCGCCAACAAAATGAAAACAAAAACACAAACAAAAAGAACAATATGTTATGAAAGCATTTAGAAGCAATGCATGGTACAAAGTATTGCATCTGTGGTGCAAAGAAGTTAACAACCGCGTGACTAGGGGTAAACCAATTCCTCCTGGCTCTTGTTCACCATTGATTGTTTATTTTTGTGTTTATTTTATTTTTATTTATCTGTTAAAAATCAAGCTCAAGAAGGTTTACCATCAACATTAACAGAATGTGCAGGACTTTTTTCCAATCAGACAGGAAAATGTAAACAAAAACGATCAAGCCTTTTACCTTAAATAATACGTTAATTCCATCCACCCACCCCCTGCTACCTATCTGGGATCAGACCACTTACATAGAGATCCTCAGACCTCCCTCTTCCCAGATTCTCCTCCAACTCCTCCAAATGTAAGATGTAATCTTTCCAGTCAGTCTTTGGTCTGCTCTGAGGTATTTCCCCAGCAGGACATGGCTTAAACACTTCCCAGGAAAGGCATCCAGACAGCATCCGTACCAGATACCCAAACCTCCTGAACTGACTCCTTTTGATGAGGAGCAGTGAGTCTAATGGCTCCTCACCCTATCCCTGAGGGAGAGTCCAGCCATCCTGTGAGGAATCCCATTTCAGCAGCTGTATTTATGATTTCCTTCTTCAGTCATTTCCCACATCTCATGATCATTGAGTGAGGACTGGAACGTAGATCGATCGGTAAAGCGACCGCTGGCTTTTTTATCCAACTCTCCCTTTTCCACGAATTGATGCAGCGTTCCCATCACCCAAGATATTTGAACTCAACCTGGACCAGAAGCTCATTCCCAACTCCAATCTACCATCTGATGGTTGAATGGAATAACTGAGACAACAATGTTTAGAGGTGACCCCAAGAACATCTATGTCATTCACAAACATAAAAAATACCAAGAACAAAAAACTCCAGCCAACAGCACATTTGACCTCAGACTGTTTCTAGAAATACATTCCATCACTTGATCGCTGAACAAGTCAGAGAGACACACTAATCTCTCACAATCCATCTGGAATTCCATCAAGTATAAAATGAAATCGCACCACAGAAATCTCTCTTGAAATGTGTTTCGTAGGATTCATGCAGGCATTTTGTCAAATAGTTACAGATCAAAACTGAAGAACACGGAGAAATCTTTAATTCACAAACAAGCTGCTGTCTTTGTTTATCGATTGAGAAACTTTGGCCAATGAGGCCTTGAGCTTTCGGGTCAATTGGAAGAACTTAATGGGAAAAAAAAGTCATTATCTTATTTCACTTCTTTCATGTTTGTAGAACTGAGTCTTTGAATCAATACCTGTCCTTCACAAATGTTCCCAGCATGCGTATTGGACCATCCTGACCTGATAAATCAAATCCCACGGCCACCGTACCATTACAAAGAGTGGTCTGATGTTTGGGGGGGTGGACAATGAGCCTCGAAGCAGAACAGCTAACGTTATTGAAGAGTAAATAAATAAATAAATAAACTGATGAACACAAAGAGGACTGAAGGAGGAACGGAGGGTTGATTTGTAAGAAAAACCACACAGAACCCAAATCAGAACAGAACAATTGCTGGTTTCAAATGGCAGGATTAAAAATCCCGACAAGAACGAATGACACAAGATTCTGTTGCACAAAATTTCATTTTTAATATAATTTAAAGGTGCAATTTGTAAGAATTATACTGTGAAATAATCACAAAACTGTCAAATGCCTCTATCATGTTGGAAGGAAGGTTATAATGAGGCTGATTTCAATCTCAGCTGGCTGCGGGGTTGTCAGTTATTACCTTTTAGAAAAATAGAAGGACGTATACGGGTTACACTCGGAGTTAGTGAGTTTGCTGAATCTGCAGAGAGCTAACGCAGCATCACAAGCATTTGTAATTCAACACCGGCAGGCTAGAAGCTCCAGAGTTGTTTAAAGAAATGAAGCCAGCAGACAGGAGCGACCCAGAAGTCACTTCTCGTACCCCTAAGGAGCCACGACATCTTTTCATTTTACTCTAATATCGTGTAAAGAAGGCTAAAGGCTAACACTGAGCTAACAAAGCTAATGATGAATTAGAAGCAGATGGTCAACTCTAAAAATATCTCAAGTTACTTGCAATTTAACAACCAGACAGCAAACAACTGTAACCGGCAACAGCCATGAAACTGATTTTATTGCTCAGGAAAATGGACTGCAGTTGCATAATTTGTCCAGAGGATGTCACTGCTACACATTGCACCTTTAAGACAAAAGCCCAGTCCAGCCACCTGGTCAGACACGCCTTACGGGAAGTCCTCTGTGTAGAATAGACTGAGGACGAGTCCGGCAGACCAGCCTACAAATCAGCCTTTCTGAGAACACACTCATCTCTGATGTGCACAGATTTAAAAGTAATTTATGTAAAAGTCTCTTCTCTTTAGCGTTGGACAAATCAGAAGATTTGGATTTAATCTGTTTGGAGTCTGCTTGCTTGTAATTTATTTTTCCGTATTGTAACCCTTTAATTTATTGTTTTCTACCGATTGTGGTTGATCCGGTGACATACGCTTTTGTTGTGTGTTTTATGTCTTCTGTTGTAAAGTGCTTTATGAATACAAACCAATAACAGTTTCACAATAAAGGCCCAAAATGCTGGAATTACTTCTGTTTGGGTTCATCTCAAATCTAGTACATCTAGTAATTTTTCTGTATAGTCAGAGTCATATGTGCACTTTTATATTGTTTTAATTAATGAGCTCTAATTACTTTTTTCATACTGAAACCACTTTGAACGTTTTAATAATTTAGATATGTTTTCTTTATGTATTTTATCTAAATAAAGGTCTAACACTCCTTGGAATAATGTATCTCTGCTTGTACCTCAGCAGGCTTCAGCAGAGCCTGGGGATCTGCTGAAAAGGTCATTTAACCACTGCATCAGGAGTCTGCGATGCAAACAACTAAAACATGCTGGATAGGGGTTCTATGGGAGGTTGTGAGCTCTGAACACCTTAACCGACCAAAATCAGCTGACCACCTGCACACAGATCCTATCACACATGTCTTGGAAAATGTGTTTCTCTCACGTCACGTGATGAAACGCTTAAATATGATCCGATTTCATTGTGTTTTAGCTAACCTTCACACAAAAATGGAAAACATGAGATTTAAACGTTGAACAAATATTAATTTATAATGAATCAACCACGAACCTTCAACTCCTGAATTCTCACGTCAGGAACTCTAAAAACATTTAATCAGACATCCAACACTAATTTAAATTAAGCCATTCATAAATGAATTGAAACAGCTTTGATCGTGATTTTATTTACCTGTGCGTTCACCTGGCGGACCCACTCTGCCCGCTGCTCACCTCCCGGACCGGCCCATCACAGCAGGGCTAATCCTGGGATCCGGAGCGCAGCGCCAGGACCATCACCGCGTCCAGGATCGAGACAGGAAAAAAGAAAGATGAAGTAAAAATCTCAGAAGTTTGTATGATATTTCTGGTCCAATCAGACAAAAAGTCCAAATTTCACTTTTTTTTCCAGGTTTTGTTCTTTTCATTTACAGAAATCTTCTTTTCTAAATTGACCCAGGTCCCGGCTGCAGACTAAAGTCGGACTGAAAGCATCTGAAGCTCCGGTGCTCGGCGCTCTGAGCTCAACTTAATGTTACCGAATGCACCGGACAACTTCCGGTAAGATATTTCAAAATAAAACACTGAGAAACGGATGAACAAGTCACACCAAACCATGTGGAGAAAAGATTGGGATGACAGCTTGAATGATGTAATCTGATATCAGTAGATTCGATGCAGAAATATAATAAAATACTGAAACCAAACAACTAAACTGAACTAAAACTCTTGCTAATTATGCAGGTTTTACATCTAGGCCTAGGTCTTTTTTTTTACCAAAATAAAAGCTTTTACAAACCAAAACACAATTTTAATCTGAGAAGAAAACTGGAATTTATTGGTAATCTCAACAGAGAATAATCTATAAAACAGCTTGTAAATGAGATCCATCCATTCAGGGTTACGTGTGTGTGTGTGTGTGCGTGTGTGTGTGTGTGTGTGTGTGTGTGTGTGTGTGTGTGTGTGTGTGTGTGTGTGTGTGTGTGTGTGTGTGTGTAGCAGGCGAGGGACACCCTACCCTACCATAGACAGAACCCAGAGAGAATTCCCTCATGCACAGGGAGAACTTTATTTATTTTACTTAACCTTTATTTAACTAGATGAGTCGATTGAGAATTTATTCTCATTTACAGCGATGCTCTGGCCAAGAGGCAGCAGCAACAAACAAATCATGCAGATGTGAACCCCGGGTACCCTTGCTCCAAGGAAGTAGCATTAACCACTGCACCACTGTGAAGCCCCTTGTAAAATATATGTTTTATTTTATTTTTTCTAAATGTGTCTCTTCAAGAAAAAAATCACTTGAGATTGTAATGCCTAATTAAAAAGAAAAAACAGGCATAAGTATAGGTCACAAAATCAGACCTGATCTCTGAAAATGTCTGTCCCAAAGCTGAAAAACAGAACTAAACAATTCAGTTACTACTTCTATTTCATTTTAAAAGCTTTTCCTGTAGTTTTTTTTTATTTAAGCAGTGGAGAAAGGGCTGCACTGAAGCTGCTAGCATTTTTAAATCACGCTTGAAAACTCACTACTTCAACCTAGCTTATACCTCATAATTATGAACCTCACTGACATCTGCACTGTTTAAAAATGGACTTTACAATATCAACTTCCATACTATTGAGGTTCTTTTTTAAAATGTTTTTCTAATTTTTTATTCACCCTGTGTCTTATTGATTTTTAGCTGTTAGTTTTGGGAATTTTGTTGTATTTGCTTTTTATCTTTTATCTGTGTTCGACATGTTTGTATAACGCCGGTTTAATTAACCAACATTTTTAGTGTACAGTGCCTTGTTTGGTTGTAATGCCTTGTGAATGTGCTTTATAAATAAAATTGGATTGGATTGGATTTATTGTGAAAGGGTATTTTAAACCTCCGGCCAGTGCCCTTAAACATGTGAACTTGATTTAACTCTGAGCTCCGGCGCTTCTGAATTGAATATTTTTCCTTTCTGTCTCATCAAGGGCAGTTCTGTTCTCTCACCAGTCAAAGGGAACTTTTCAGTTAATAAGCTTCAATAATAACTTCACCAAAACAAATGCAGAATGTTTTAGAGCGATGTGATGAAGGAATCAGGTGGAGGTCTGAACAGTTTCTCTGTGGGCTGCAGCTCTCAGCAGGCTGAATCAGATAAACAGAATCAAAAGCATAATCCCCACAAACGCATCCAGGCTTCTAAAAAGGCTCGGGGGTTTGTTCTGTGTGATTTCTGTGGATGTGGAGGTTTGTGCTGCCAGTAACATCTGTTAGTCATGTAGAAATCCAGGAGGGCCACTCCAGCCCCTGTGGTCAAAGTCCAGGACTCATGCAACTGTGCAGTCTTTGAATCCTGATGTGTTGCACACACACATGTTCTAAAAGATTGAGAAAAACATGAAAAACATTCCAGGCAAACATCTAATATTACAAGATTTCTATAAATGCATGCTTACAAACTTTTGAAGGCCGTTCCCTTCGGCTCAGCTTGTGAGTTCATTTGAATAAAAACAAATTCAAATGCTGTCATCTTTGAATAATTAAAAAAAATAAACTCATGTAAATAAACCAATTCGTTTAAAAATCAGCATTTAACCATTAAAAACTGTTTAATTCGCCTAATCTTTTAAACAAATTCAAACAAATTAATTTGAGTGAGAAATCTAACATACGATAACCAAAAACAGTTTTAAATGGGTCCCGTGTGGCTGTGAATTGCTATCTTTGTGTTTGAATGCTAAATCAATATGCAGCCATTTGTTATAAAAGGTATCTTAATCTAAACAGAAATGTGTTTTTAACGGTGGGAAAGGAGGCATCAAAATGTAAGTTAGTCTATAGACTCTAGGGAAACTGCATGGCTGTCTACACACTATCTGGACCAGTGGTCCCTATAAGATAAGAAGGCTAAAAGTGATCAAACTATCAATAAAAGAAGCTTTTGTTCAGCAGAACAAAGAAAACCCAACAAAGATTGTGAAATAAACAACCTATAACTGCAATCAGCAAGAGTCCTGACCTGTTGGAGTGTTTTTATCGGATCTTAAGCAAAGACATCAGGATGTGATTTGAACCAGAAGAGCAGCAAAGAGGTGAGAAGTGCAGGTGAAGAAATGTAACTGCTGCTACAAATGACATAAAGGAATGGTTGCGGACGTGAGATGTGCAAGAACCTGCTGCATTAAAGAGATATTAATAAAAAAAAACTCACTATTCTATTTGTGTTCAGCGTCAAAATCAGAATCATCTCACCTGAACACGCTCTACCCCAGAGTTCACGTTTTAAGAATACTGCAGTTCCTGGTTGACGTCAGCAGTTGTCAGCGTTGCTCTGTTTAGTAGATATGACTCACCAGTGGATAAAAATTGTTTTAATTATATTTAAATTGTCAAAAGTGACTATAAAATTAATTGGGCTTTAAATGTAAAAAAAAAACTTGTAACAGACACCAGTTTAAAACACCTAAACACTATTTAAAGTTAAAGTCCCATTAGTTGTCACACACACAGGTGTGTGTGCGACATTTGTTCTCCGCATTTGACCCATCCCCTGGGGGAGCGGTGAGCTGCAGACACAGCCGCGCTCGGGAACTATTTGGTGGTTTAACCCCCCAATCCAACCCCTTAATGCTGAGTGTCAAGCAGGGAGGCATTGAGTCCCATTTTTTCAAAGTCTTTGGTATGACCCGACCAGGAATCGAACCCCTGAATCGAACCCCTTTAAACGTCTACTGGACTCCCTCACATGAAGAAAAAATGGATTTATGGTGCAAAAGTTCACGTATTTCAGTAATTCAACCTAAAGGTGAAACTAATATATAAGAGATTATCCATCCATTTTCTACACCCACATGTCGCAGCATCCTGGGGGGCTGGTGCCTGTCTTCATGTGGGGTACACCCTGGACAGGTATGCAGTGCATCTCAGCGCATAGCCACACAGTCTCAAACAATCATGCACACACACACACACACACACACACACACACACACACACACACACACACACACACACACACACACACACACACACACACACACACACAAGGACAATTCAGACCTAATCTAAACACCTGCAAAGGGTTCTTGAACCTTTAGATGGTCTCTCAGTCTAAGTTAAAGAACTGAAATAAACAGACTTTAGCACTATACTCTAATTTTTCCAGAATCAATTGTAGTTCTGTGGGGCTTGTATTTCTGTAGTACTTTCTAGAGTCCTACTACCCCCCAAGGCACTTTACAACACAACAGTGTTGAAGAGCCATAATCTAGCCACAGCCGCCGACGGGCACACCAACAGGAGCCCCGGGCCATTTTCAGGAACCACCCTGTATTCTGAACTAGCCCGTTAGAGTCGCTAAGCGAAACTTCTGGTTAACTCATGCTGATTGGTTGTTAACTAAATAGGGAACAGCATCGGCAGACGTCAAACCACATTTGTAAAATTGGAAGAGTTTGAAGCGGAATGGAAGGAGAAATGAACAGTTTCCACACTGCTTTAAAATTGTCGTAACTTAACTCCCAACGCCAAAAAATGCTGCAAAAATCCACCAAAATGATGACATTCACGGGGCTTTGTTTTCTCACAAAGCACCGTGGAAAAACAACGCTTCTTCTGGTCATTCAGCGGCACGTGTTTGCTCTCCTGGTCCTCTGACTCGATTAAGTTCAACAGAATGAAACGTTCAATGTTATTAATGTCCATGGCGCTGATCAGTGACATCACTCAATGTCGAAGCAATCCCAGTATGCTGACATCTTAGCAAAGTCCTGAAAGGGTTGAATTTCCTAAAAGTTTCCCAGAATTCCTGTAGCGGAGACACAGCTAATGAGAGTGATGCGTCTTGCTCAAGGACACAATTACTTCAAAAGGCTGAGTGGAGCACAAACCTGCAGCCTTCCAGTTACAGGATGTGTACTTTACTCTTCTGCCACTGTCGCCTCCCAAATTCTTGTGTACTTCTCTAGCTTGAAACAAGGAACATTTGGGCATAAATGCAGGTGATGGATTCCTGGAATGACCCGATTACAGAGTGATCTTGTGCGGTGTAGCAGTCTGGGACAAAGAAGAGATGAAAATAACATGAAGAAGCTTAAAAAGATTAACAATTAAAGGTGCTGAAGGAAGGTGAAGTCAGATACTGCACACGCTCCACAAACTCTCAGGTTCCCGATGGAGCTTTAAAACTCACCTTTTCCTGCATGAGACGTGACCAATGAAACTAATCATACTTCCGCTTTTGACTTAGCAGGACACTCAGCATTGGCCTGTTGGTAACAAGGTTTCTGTCAAAAGCTGGAGGTCATGTTCCTAAACCTCTGTATTTGTTGTAGTTACTTTCTAGTATTTTCCCTTTTAGTTTGGTACCTGGTGTGCTGTTCATGCTGACAGTTTAATCCATGCTTTTCCTGCAAATGACACAAAATGATTCAGGCAATTTCACAGACTGAAAATACGTCTTTAAAATGAGCAATCCCAACAAAAAGTTTATGTATTGCTACTGTAAAAAGTTAAGGTTGATGCTTGCTTTGCTGATGGTCCAATGAATCCACTGAAGCATGACAGCATGGTGAGGGCCGTGTAAACAACGCCCACATGCTGATGCAGTGATGAGACTCACGAGACAAATAATACAGGATACCCAGCAGGATACTTTTAGATCTATGCATGACAAAAACCCATTAAAAACTAGTCTTTATGTAAATTCAGAACATCAACATTACACTGCTTATGTAAAGCCTTTTGGGGATTTGAAGAAAGAAAAACATTTTTGATTTGTTTGTTTGTTGTAGATATTCCCAACGATGATGAGCTAATATATTGTATTCAACCAATTTCTTTTATATTTTCCTTTTCATATCAAGATTTTGTGAGAATTTCATTGCTAGTAAACATTATCTAATCCATGAGCGTCCATCAAATAAAAAAAAAATCTGATCTTAAATTCTCTAAAAAAACAACTGCAACCTCAGCAAGTCACAGGGCACATTAGTCATCTCACTTCAGCTTTTAGCAAAGCTCTTTTTGTTCAGACGCATTTTTATTGGAATTCGGGATTTTATTTATTTATTTATTTTGGGTCAGGAAGTCAACAGGAGGAGTGTGTGAGGCAGGGCGTTGTCGTGCATATCAGAACAAACACAGGAGCTCCTCAAGGACGTGTGTTCAGTCCTTTGATTTTTACTTCGCCATGCACAAAACTGCTTCATCTAATTCAACTCAAACCAGCTCATTAAAGGGACACCAGGCACATTTGGTTTGTTGTCAGCACCTCCTAGCGTTCTTTTAGTGAAACCAAAAATTTACCTAATCTCCTCGTTGGGCGTTTGTCTTTTAACACCTTAATCTAACAGCTGAAATGTCTCCTCAGCCTTCATTAATTTCTACACGAGTGATTCATCGCTAAATAAAACAAATCAGCTTTGTTCATGATCTAAAACATGCAGGAAACAGGCTGGAAGCAGACTCCAGTACCAGGTGTGTCAGCTCCACCTCGTGAAAGGGACCGGACCGACACTCTGATGTTTCATGTGCAATATTCAGGCCACAGAGGGTGTTGGAGGTCTGAGTGGCATTACATTAACCCTGTAAAGATTCGTTGTACTGGCTCAAGAAAATAATTTAGAAATATGAAAATGTTGCATACTATGCCTTTGAGCTTACTGAGGACACAACGGAGCACGTGGAAGAATCAAACACGATGCAACAGCCTGACACCACCCCAGACCAGACAAGTGGTACCAAGAAGAACCAGAATCATAAAAAGAGTCAATAAGGAATCAGCTCAGGTCCTTCTCAAGTCTGCTGCTTGACCCACAACATGGCTTCTTTAAACAAAAACAAAAAAAAACTTTCCAGTGGTTTGATATTTATTGGCAAGAAGCGTTGCTACAACAAACAAAAAACAGACATTTTCCTTAATCATTTTGCACAATGGTGTTGTTTATCTAAAAAGTATTACCGTAAATGTACTCCGAAATTATTGAATTATATGTTTAGTATGTTTGACTTGTTTAAAATCCCTCTAAAGTGGAATTAACCAGCATGTGCCAAGTGCATCCTTCTATCCATCATTAACTCCCAGAGGGATGAAATTTCTCTGCGAGCCTGGGAACCAGACAGAAGAGATGTTGGAAAATTGAGCTGCTCTTTGAATTTTAAAGTGACGCAACAACAGGGGGATGAAGGACAATGTGAATGAAGCTATGAAGCTGAACAAGAGTATCAAGTGAAATATCGAGGGTGGGGGTGGGAGTACTGATGATTTGATGGAAATGATGTAGAAAGTGGAGTCATCATCGAGGAATCTCCAAGCAAAGATGCTTGTGTTCTCTCCTTGGTCTCCTTTAGGGACAGTTTTATTTGAAGGTAACGATAGACACAAACCAAAGCCGAACCCAATAACCATTTGTTGTCTTTCACATGTTGCAGAAACCTCCACTTGATTTTTTTTTCACACCGCAGCGTGCTTTGGTTGTGTTCAGCTGCACCTTTAAATGACTGGCTCAAACGCAGGGACCTATTGTCGGTTAATTACTGGAATTATAAAGTAAAATTAAACTCGGCCCCTGTCAGACATTAAAGAGACGTTTTGCTCCGCACCACGATTATCTTGCTGCAAAGGGATTGGCTGGTGATGCGGGGTGGCCTTGAGCTGCTGATGACTTCCACAACCTTTGAGTGAGGAAATAACAGAAATTCAGCCAACAGGGATCTGAATCAGAAATCTGTTGGTTATTTTTTTTTTTTACCATCCTGGAGATGGAACTTACCGCTTCGAGTCAGGATCAGGAGAATCTGATAATGTTACATTAAAGGTGTTAAACACTTGTTTAATCAACACATTTGCAGTGGTCTCTAGTAGAAATGAATGCCTTAAGTCATTCTATAAGGGAAAAAGCTGAAATGCGTCTGAATCAGGAAGTACAAGCCAGCTGGAGGAGAAAGAAGCATCACACGACAGGATTTGATCATCTCGCCTCGGATTGGATAAAAGCAACATGACTCTACTAAATACTCCATTTTCTTTGCAAAGTTGATGTTTTATTTCCACAAATAACACAAGCCTGGAGGAGTTCTGCCATAAGGTGGAGTTGCTAACGCTAATGGTTAGCTTCTGCTAGCTGAGACATTCTCTGCTGTTTCCCAGATGCTAAACCACCAGCAGCCTTCGCTGTCATGAGACCAAGATGGGTGAGTCCATGACTGTTACAGTTTTTCTCAGTTGCTTTGGTGCATTTCTCACAACAGAATTGATCTCTGCACCACTACTAAGGCTCTTCTCAAAACAATTAGTGCAAACTGCAACACAAGGTGGATAACTTGCAAAAGTGAGTCACTTCATCAAAAAGAAAAGTCAGTTGTTCAAAAGCAAGTCAGTTGCTCAAAATAAGTAGTCAATGCTTCAAAAGCAAGTCCCTTAATCAAGACAGATAATATATTCATCAAAAGCAAATACTTATATCAAAGTGTCAAGGCTGTCACAATTACAAGTGATTACACCGGCACCTTTGGTCACAAAATCAAATGGTTTGAACACGTTCTCGTTGTAACGGATTTCTTTGTCGGTGCTTCCCAATGACATGTCAAGTCTGGACAGCATGCGTGGCGTGTTGAAAACCATAAATTGTAAAGGAAAATCAAGACACTTCATATGCACTCTTGATAATATTTAATTGAAACTGTTCACAGCGTTGTGCAACTGGGGAAATACAGTAAAACAAACATTTTACAGCAAACATAAACTCACTTAGACAGTAAACCTTACTGCAGTAGTTATGAAACAAATAAAACTGAACAGACTGCTGCATATTAATCACTGATATCTAGACGCTCCCGTCTGTCTGCCCACATGTTTTCATCAACATCACAGGGATGTCAGCTCTATCGATGCATCGGGGAAAGTATCTTCTGGAGTGTCGAACCCGCCCTCTGCAGGACTCTGCTGTGATGTCATCACAAGCCGCATCCATAGCTGCTAGCAGGGTCATTTGGGTATGTGGATGCCTGTCATATACCTTCCACCTCCAGGAAGAGAAAAACTCCTCAATTGGATTTAGGAGTGGAGTGTAAGGAGGAAGAAACCCCATAAGCATCCTGTCGTGTGCTGCAAACCACTGCCTGACTACAGCAGAGTGATGGAAGCTAATATTATCTCAAACCACTACATACATTGTATGATTGTCACCGGGACACACACCAGTTTTCATTAGTGTGAAATAAGGTTCACCTGAGAAAAGTAATTTATGGAGATTTCCATGGAAACTCCTTAAAAATAGGGTTTTCAAAATGGGTGTACAAATTGTTTGACAAGATGTTCAACAATTTAGAGAGCAATGACACAAGCAATGAAATGAAGACTATTAGTTGTCAGGACAATGACTATTCAGCCGATACAAGTATAAATAATTGTGACATTCATGATAAAAGCAAGGAGATAGTGATGAATAGCAAGTCAAAAGTGACCATTCTTTAGATATTTGTACTTACTCAACTGCTTCATGTCCAAAGGACATGAAACCGCCACTAGGTTGTGCCAAAACGACTACATGTGGTGGAGGTTGAACAAACTGTTGTGCAAAGTTTAATTCTGTTGTGAGGAATGCACCAAAGCAACTGAAGAAAACTGTAAGTGACAGTGTGACGTAGATCTGTCAGGCTTTTCTAATCCTAGAATTTTATCATCTATTTTCTATCAGAAGCTAATGCAGGAGATAGGTGTAGGAGACCATTTTCATGTTCAGCCTGCTTGGAAAAACTCTGAGTGACTGCTTATAATCCAAAATAATATTTTTAAATGTTTTCAGCATTCCACACCTATAATGTTTTTCCCTTTGCTTAATCTGCCTAGAAGAAGAAATTATTTTTTACGTTGCGTTTCTGATGAAAAAAGCTACCAGACACTTACTGAAGAACAATAAAAATTATTTTAAAAAGGATCATAATAAAAATGGGGGAAAAAGACAAATGGAGACTAAAAAATGATAAAAATGAAAAACAGTAAGCACAGGTGACCAAAAATAAAAACAAAATTGGCAGAAACACAAACAATAAACTACTGCAGTGTGTTTTCATAGTCGTCATAACCTTGAGACTCATCCTTGATTAAGGCAAACTCTATTTTTTACTCTTGACATTTGTGCATAAATCCACTCATCTTTTTTTAAATGTTGAGAAGGTTGAAATAATGTTATTTTTAAGTGTATTTGTTCAAATAAAATGTCCCTCAGGTTAACGGATCCTTCACTGCTGGTTTAACGTTCAGGCATGGACAGGTTTGTTCTCTTAAGACAATCCAGACTAATCTACTTGTTAAAAACAGTCAGCCCATTTTAACTTTGCAGGAGTAAGACGATTCAGACGTCTTGTGGCATTCACACCTTGGGAAAACACCTGTGGCCCACTAAAGATACCGATTGGAGCATCCAGTTGTCTGTCTCACTGAACCGCTACACTTCGGCTTGGACCTTTAGCTGACAGAACTCCGCTGGTGTGAGAGGTTCTCCACTCAATAATATCAGAGGAGAAACGGCCGGCTGCTACCACTTCTACTTTAGGATAAACTACCAGAGTCCCAAACAGAAAAACGCCATTTGAAGTCACGGACAACAGAAGAAGTTTGGACCTAGAAAATGGCGACTGGTGTTTAGCGCTATCTCGTTTACTGTGGCAATGGGGTTCCCATACCAGGGGGACGTGGTCTATAGGGGTGATAGCCGACGGGAAAGTTGAGAGTTTTGTCACCGTGTTTTGTTTAAAAGCTAGCTTGTTTTGCAGATTTGGTAAAGCAGCTTTAAGATCTAAACAAAATAACTAAACCTTATGGCAACCACAACATGATCTAAGTTTTTAGGATAGTAATATGAACCCTTTAAGGAACTTTGGCCATTCATTTAATTAGATAATTGTTTAATGTATAATACTTTCTCTTTTTTAGGAATTGATCTGCTCGACATCTTTTACTGGCCCGGAGCCAAACAACGATCCCAACCTGCACGCCTCCAACTATGTTTATCTGGTCCCGGGAAAACGCCGGAGGAAAAGAGGTAAACGAGCAGGAATCCAGGTGAGAATAAGACTTCTGTTAAAGCGTGGTGTATCTAGTAAACATCGGCGTGATCTTCTAGCTTCTCTTCCTTTGTTTGGCGACTTTAGCGCCATTTCCGCATTCCCGCCAGGCCGCGTTGCGGTGCGGTTTCTCGGTCCAAGTTTTTTAAGGTCAGTTTATCTTCATTCCTCAGTGGTTTCTCCTCCTGTTCCCTCCATAAGTGGTTTTTATAAACACCGTGGATCTAACCCTGCTAATTTACGTCCACTAACCCCAGCTGTTTCTGTAGTTTCTGATTCCTCCACCTCACTCAGCATGGCTCTATTAAATACCCGCTCTGTTAACAATAAGACCTTCCTGCTCAATGATCTAATTCTCTCTAAAAACCTGGATTTTCTGTTTCTGACTGAAGTTTGGCAGCAAGCATCTGATTATTCTGGTCTGATTGAACTCTGCCTGAGTGGTTATTCTTTTCTTAGCCAGCCCCAGGGTTCTGGTCGTGGTGGAGGCCTAGCTGTTATTTTCAGAGACCATCTTCCATGTAGCTCTACAACCTCTGGTCACTTTGCTTCCTTTGAAATGCAGCTGATTAAAGTCGGGCGTAAGGACCCGTTCTACTGTGCTGTGGTCTATCGTCCACCTGGTCCAAACAGTTCTTTCCTTCAGGAGTTTAGTGGCTTTCTATCCTCCACTGTGAAACTGTCCAGACTGGTGATTGTGGGTGACTTTAACATCCACGATGATGATCCCTCTGATCACTTTGCCATGAATTTCTCCAGCCTTATGGACTCCTTCAGCTTTACCCAGCATGTTTCTGGCCCCACACACACCAGGGGGCACACTCTAGACCTTGTTTTTACCCAGAGTCTAAATGCTGACAGTGTTTGTCCTGAGGACGTTTATATTTCAGATCACCATTGCATTTTCTTTAACTTGTCAGTTTCTGCGTCCCCACCTCCTGCTCGCCGTATGGTTAGTTCTCGTTTTCTTAATGAGAGCACAGCTAGCAATTTTTCTGCTGCTTTTGATCCACCCTGTTCTTCTGATAACGACCCAGATTCCTTAACTTCTCAGTTTAACGAGCACTGCCTCTCCATTCTGGACAACATCTGTCCTGTCAGAACCAGATCAGTTCCTGCAGTGAACCCTACTCCCTGGTTTAATGACAGCCTTCACAGCCTGAAGCACCAATGCAGGAAAATTGAGTGCTTGTGCAAGGAAACCCATCTCCACGTCCATCTGCTGCACCTAAAGGATCTTCTGACATCCTTTAACTCTGCAGTCAGAGACGCAAGGGTTTCCTATTTCTACAACCTGGTGTCCCAGAGCAAAGGGAACCCGAAGGTGCTGTTTAACACCATCAACAGCATTGTCTCTCCTGCCTCTCCAACAGCCTCCATCCACTCTGTTACAGACTGTGAGAACTTTCTTTCTTTCTTTGTGGACAAAGTCAGTAAGGTTAGATCTAGCATCTCTCCTTCAGCCTCTCCCGACTCCAACCAGGCCCATCATCCTAGATAGCTTTGCTCCTGTTTCTTTGCCTGAGTTAACCAAACTAGTTAACTCTATGAAGGTCTCTGCATGCCCCCTCCACATCTTACCCTCATCTTTGTTTCAAAGTGCTTTTTAGTCCATCGGTCCCAGCGTGCTCGCAATAATTAATGCTTCTCTGGTCTCTGGTCAGGTCCCTGCATAATTTGAGAACGCTGAAATCCACCTGCATCTTAAAAAACCGAGTCTTGACGCCTCTCTTCATAGCAGATTCAGACCCATCTCTAAACTTCCGTTCATCTCCAAGATCTTGAAAAAGGTTGTGGCTAAACAACTCACAGCTGCTCTTGATGAACATAACATCCATGATAGCTTCCAGTCAGGTTTTCTTAGAGCTCATTCTACTGAAAAAGCTCTTCTTAAGGTTGGTTTATGCTAGACGCGTCCGCGAGGTCCGCACGGCTCCGCGCGGAAAAGTTGCGTCATTTTGCGTCATTTTAACAACCACGCCCCTCCACTGCGTCTCCGCACGGCCCAGAATTTCCGCAACGCGCACCTCTGAAAATTTCTAACCACGCGGACGGACGGAAACGGAAAAACATGGCGGACCGTCAAGAACTAGTATGGCAGAGGTTCGTAAATACAGACATTTGTATGATTCAGCTCTCAGGGATCACCGTGATCAACATGTTGTAAATAATTCTTGGAGAGAAATAGCTCGCACTGTCAGAAAAGACGAGAATGCTGTTAAAAATGCTGAAATGCCATGTTGTAAACAGTATTTTCTACTTCTACTATGGTGTAGTGTTGGGTGCATGCCGTAGAGCTCCATGCTGCCCCGTTCAGTTTGGGAGAATATTGGCTCACCGCAGAGACAAGCCGCACGAAACATAAACGCTGCGAGTTGTGAAGCGAGTTCCATCCGCGAGCCGCATCACCAAGCAGAAAGTGAATGCGTCAAGCATAAACCAAGCTTTAGGGTCTCTAATGACCTTCTGACTCACAGTGATGCAGGGGACTGTATATAAATACATACATATATATACATATATATACATACATACATATATATATATATATATATATATATATGTTTATATGTAATTATCTATTAATACATACATACATATAGACACATATGTAAATGTGTGTGTGTATATATATATATATATATATATATATATATATATATATATATATATGTGTGTGTGTGTGTGTGTGTGTGTGTGTGTGTGTGTGTGTGTGTGTGTGTTTATATATATTTATTTATTAACACATACATACATACATATGGACATATATGTAAATGTGTATATATATACATATATATATAATATATTTTAATATATATAAATATATAAATATATATATACAAATTTTAATAGAATGAAACAAAATTCATAATATTTTGCATAAAACATAAAATTAAGTTTTTTCATAATTTCATTGTCAGATCACATATTTATGTAGATACATATTACATAATGTTTTATTTATTTATTACATTTTGAACATTTTGGAATTCATTTGTTGTGGAATCTGCCATGGTTGCTAGGCAACGGGACAACAACAAAAAAAGGGCAAACATAAAGGGTACAGGCAAGCTGATGACATCATAAAGGCAAGAGAACTCTGCTCAGAGCACACTCTCATTTCAGTAGTGACTGACGTCGGCTGACTAGCACATCGCTCTGTCATGGCTTACCCTACCATTAGCAACCACATGTCAAACCACAAGATTTCAAGTAAATCTGAGCTCTCGTGGTACGAAATGGTTGTACAACAGGTGGAAGTCGATTATGATGAAATAATTGACTTTGATATGGACTGTGAACAGCAGGTGACCCTTAAACAAGAAATGGAGACTCCCGAGTTTAAGGAAACCGAAAACCAATCCACTATTTCTGCTGAGCCAAAGATTCCTCTTCAGGAACTTCTGAAACAGGAAAATGACAAAAGAGTGGCAGCAGAAGCTTGCTACCTATCATTTATAGAACAGACTGAAGAATTAGACAAGTGGATGGATTGTCAGCAGAACAAGTTTGTGACGCTGGACATGAAATTACAGGAGCAGAAGAACGTAAACGAGGATTTAAATCAGATCTGCTCTGATCTTAAAGGAGAAACAGAAGAGGGCTCTAGGTTTTCTGGAATACCAAGAACAGGTTTGGAAACTATGATTATGGATCTGGAAAAGCAGCTGAGTAATGAAAACGCAGACCGAACCAAGACTGAAAAGAAACTTGACGATAAGCAGGTGAGTTTCAAACAGCAGCTTGAACAAAAAGACTTGCTCTGTGAAAATCTGCAGGACAATTTAAACCAGGAACGCCAGCTCAGACTCAGCTATGAGCAAGACCTGAAGAACTCCCAGCATATAGTCACGGTGAACGAAAACCTGAAGGAGGTCAGAGACCTGAAGAGACAGAACAGTGACTTAAGAGAGATGCTGGATAAAGTCAAGAGAGACCAAAGACTTGCAGAGACAAAACGTCTAGGAGAGCAAAACTATTTCAAACACCAGCTCAAAGAAAATAAACTGGTTTGTGAAAATCTAGAAAAGAGTCTCAGCAAAGAAAGCCAGCGTCGTCTGCTCTGTGAAAAAGAGCTGAAAGAAACCAAAGATCAGATTAGTGTGATGAGCGGAAACATGAAAAAACTAACAATCGATCTGAACAAGACAAACGTGGAGCTCAGCGAGAAGCTAGCTAAGGCAGATGAGATGTCTGAAGAGCTGGAGAGCTGTAAACAGCAGCTCCAGCAGAAATCTTCTGTCTGCGAAGAGCTTCGAGAGAGTCTGACCAAAGAACGACAGCTTAGACTTAATAATGAAGCTGAACTGATGGAAAACAAAGTGAAACTCGGTGAGATTTCTCAGCTGAAGCAGGAAAACGACCAGTTGCAGCAGAGAAACATCTATCTCTGTGTCACGATGTACCAACTGAGCTGCGGAAGAAATGAGGAAGTAGAGAAATTTAAAACACAGCTGACACAAACTTGTGAAATACTCCAAAACAATCTCACTGAAGAGAGAAAGCTCAGACTGAGTTATGAGGCGGAGCTGGATAAAAACAGGGCTATAATTAGTGAGAATTCTCACCTCAAAAACGAAATCATCGATTTAAAGCAGAGAAACGCTGATCTCTGCGTCTCGATGGACGTACAGAGCTGCAGAAGAGACGAGGAACTGGAGAACTTTAAAACACAGCTGACAGAAATTTCCGAAGAACTCCAAAACACTCTCTCTGAAGAGGAAAAGCTCAGACTGAGTTATGAGGCGGAGCTGGATAAAAACAGAGCTATAATAAGTGAAAATTCTCACCTCAAAAACGAAATCATCGATTTAAAGCAGAGAAACGCGGATCTCTGCCTGGTGATCGACCAGCAGAACGTTCAAAGAGCCGAATCAGACAGGAAGCTAGCTCAGGAGCTGCAGAGCGTCGAGCAGCAGCTGCAACGTAAAACTTCTGTCTGCGAAGAGCTTCGAGAGAGTCTGACCAAAGAACGACAGCTTAGACTTAATAATGAAGCTGAACTGATGGAAAACAAAGTGAAACTCGGTGAGATTTCTCAGCTGAAGCAGGAAAACGACCAGTTGCAGCAGAGAAACATCTATCTCTGTGTCACGATGTACCAACTGAGCTGCGGAAGAAATGAGGAAGTAGAGAAATTTAAAACACAGCTGACACAAACTTGTGAAATACTCCAAAACACTCTCACTGAAGAGAGAAAGCTCAGACTGAGTTATGAGGCGGAGCTGGATAAAAACAGAGCTATAAGTAGTGAGAATTGTCACCTCAAAAACGAAATCATCGATTTAAAGCAGAGAAACTCGGATCTCTGCCTGGTGATCGACCAGCAGAACATTCAAAGAGCCGAATCAGACAGGAAGCTAGCTCAGGAGCTGCAGAGCGTCGAGCAGCAGCTGCAACATAAAACTTCTCTTTGTGAAAACCTGAAAGACGGTTTCTCCAACAGACTTACCCTCATGCATGAACTGTATGAGAAACTGGAGTCAAAAACGAGTCTCTGTGATAAACTGGAGAAGCAGTTTATAGCAGAGCAACAGCGGAGACTCGGTCTGCAGTCTGAGCTCAACAGGGTTAAGGATCTCATCACGTTAGAAAATATGGAAGACACCGAGCCAAACGAGTTTTTAATAAACTGCAGGTCCCAAGGAGAACTTCCACAATCCGTCAGCAGCAAACGGGAAAAGATCTCCAAGTGGAGATGCTTCAAGAAGTGTATAACTCCGACGTGTCTCCGTAAACACAAACGCACATCTGACGACTAACCACTCCCCCTCAAGAAACAGCTAATCTGATGACGAGTGAATATGATTACCCCTATTTTAGCAGACTTACACCGACTTCCTGATTTTAGTTTGACGGCCCCTATCGAACCCACTCAGGCGGTGACACGGTCCTCTCCCACGAGTTTCAGTGGCGTCTGAAAACCCACGTTTTTAGCTTAGCTTGTGTTTAAACGCTGGTGTTCAGTCGTGTCTGTTAGAGACCACAGTGAGGCCGTTCTTTTATGTTTATGACCTGACTTGTCCATCTCACCCCCCTCCCCCTTATGAAAAAATGGGGCATCATGGTGACACAGTGATTAGCACTGTTGCCTCTCAACAAGGTTGCAGGTTGAAATCTCAGCTGTAGTCTTGCTGTGTGGAGTTAGCATGTTCTCCCCATGTATGCGTGGTTTTTCTCCCGACGCTCGGGTTCCCCCCACCTCCCAAAAACATCTTTAGGTTAATTGGAGACTCTAAATTGTTCCTAGATGTAAGTAATACATCTTGTTTGTCTCCCTTTGTCCCAGAAATGGACTGTCCAAGATGTCCAGCATCTCTTGCTGAGTTTAGAAGATAAATAAGGGAATAATTATTAAGTCTGAGACATTAAATTAGCCATGCCTCTCAAAAAAACCAGCCTGAGTAATCAATAAGAACACCCCACCATCACCACCACTGCTCTGTCTCAATCCCACAGTCAGTCGGAGCAGATGGCTGTTCGTACTGAGCCAAGTTCTGTTGGAGGGTTCTTCCTGTTAATGGGGAGTTTTCCTCTCCACTGTAGCTACATGCTTGATTACGCCGGAGACACACCGGCCGTGGAAGCGCCGCAAAAATGGGACCACCTTCATTCGGCGCCCTTGTTAAGCTATTCTGTAGACCACATGGGCCGCCAAAGTGCCGCAAATCGCCTCACGCCGGCGCTCCAGCCCGCGCCGTGCAGCGATCATTTCGGCATCTGCTCTTTTTTTTTCGCGAGCCGTGGGTGAATCGCGTCAATTCTGGCAGGAAGTCAAACCTAGACATAAGAGGCAGGCCGGTAAATTTAACAAAATAAAGCATTTCAAAATAAAATTCCGCAATAGTCAAATGTGTTTGTAATCGGACACTGCAGAAAAACCACACAAACACACACACACATACACACACATCGAACTTGTGTGCGTGTGTGACCACGTGAAGGGGTGTGTGGTTTTGGGTGTCTTTTTTCCGGAGCAAACAGGACAGAGACGCCGGGGACACACCGGCCGCGGAAGCGCCGAAAAGCGAATCGCTCACGAAATTCGGCCGCTGCTCGCCGCTCCTCAGTTCAGATCAGACGCGCCCCAGTCGAGGCGTGCCTCGGCTCAGCTGTAGATTTTCTATTAAACACTTGGTGTCCTCCATTTCCTCTCTGCCTTTTCTCAGCTCTTTTCCTCTACGTTTGAGAGTGTGTGTGTGTGTGTGTGTGTGTGTGTGTGTGTGTGTGTGTGTGTGTGTGTGTGTGTGTGTGTGTGTGTGTGTGTGTGTGTGTGTGTGTGTGAACCTATGGTATGAGTTGTTTCTGCCAGTTGAATCTCTTGGAACCCGCTCCAATTCTGCAGCTGTATCCTAGCAGTTTCTTCTGAAGTGGGTACGTAAATAATGTTTTTCGGGGGTCGTACAGCTCCTTGTGTTTCTCAACTTCCATAATTAATTTAAAGTCATCCATCTTAACTGCTTGCCTCAGACTTTCTGCCTCTCTGTCCTGTTTGCTCTGGAAAAAAGACACCCAAAACCACACACCCCTTCACGTGGTCACACACGCACACAAGTTCGATGTGTGTGTATGTGTGTGTGTGTTCGTGTGGTTTTTCTGCAGTGTCTGATTACGAACACATTTGACTATTGCGGAATTTTATTTTGAAATGCTTTATTTTGTTAACTTTACCGGCCTGCCTCTTATGTCTAGGTTTGACTTCCTGCCAGAATTGACACGATTCAACCGCGGCTTGCGAAATAAATAGAGCCGACGCCGAAATGATCGCTGCACGGCGCGGGCTGGAGCGCCGGCGAGCGGCGATTCGCGGCGCTTCGGCGGCCCATGTGGGCTATAGAATAGCTTAACAAGGGCGCCGAATGAAGGCGGTCCCATTTTCGCGGCGCTTCCGCGGCCGGTGTGTCCCCGGCGTGAGGCAGAAAGTCTGAGGCAAGCAGTTAAGATGGATGACTTTAAATTAATTATGGAAGTTGAGAAACACAAGGAGCTGTACGATCCCCGAAAAACATGATTATTTACGTGCCCGTTTCGGAAGAAACTGCTAGGATACAGCTGCAGAATTGGAGCGGGTTTCAAGAGATTCAACTGGCAGAAAAAACTGGTTCATACCATAGGTTCACACACACACACACACACACACACACACGTACAAACACTCAAACGTAGAGGAAAAGAGCTGAGAAAAGGCAGAGAGGAAGTGGAGGACACCAAGTGTTTAAAAGAAAAACTACAGCTGAGCCGAGGCGCGCCTCGACTGGGGCGTGTCTGATCTGAACTGAGGAGCGGCGAGCAGCGGCCGAATTTCGTGAGCGATTCGCTTTTCGGCGCTTCGCGGCGCTTCCGCGGCTGGTGTGTCCCCGTCGTTAGTATGGGGACCGATGTCAAGTCTCTGACACAACAAGTCAGTGACTCGATGCAGTCTGCTGAGTTTCATTAGGTGGGAAACTTTTAACTAATTGGAAAACATTTGAACTGAACTCAATGCAATGTTTGAAAAATAGGGCCTTGGGGGTCAGGTCCTGACATGTATGTTGCCGGGAAGAAGGCGGGAACATGCGGCAGTGCCTGGCTCGGGATCAGGGGCCTCAGGTAGACCTTGGCTCCTCTGCTGTCCTATCACAGGGGAGGGGGATTTCCAGGAGAGGGAGGACCAACCTGGATGTCCTATGTCTTATATGTTCTGGAAGTTGTGCAAATGCAGGGATGGGAGAAGATATTCTGCTGGGGTGGGGCTGGAGCTCTCGGACCCCGTGAGGCTCTGTGATGCTGCTGCTTTGGGCCCTGGCAAGATGGGCTGGGGTCTCCATGCTCTGGGTGGCATTTTGACAACAGAGGTGCCTATTGGGGCCAGTGGAGGAGCTGGCTCCCTGGAAGGCTTAAGTCCAACCAGTCATTTCTCCTCATCCCCTCACATTTCTCTCCTCCTGCTCCCTCACATCATCACACAAACATACACATAGGACCTTGGGGAGTTGACAAGTCAGGGAGTATGGACACCATTTCCACATTCCTGTGGCAACCTGCCCCCCAATTTTATTTGCACCTTAAACACTTCCACTAACGACATTCCACGCAAACACACACTTAGGGCCTTGGGAGTGAGCACATTCAACTGCATTTGGCAGGGGGATTTTTCAGCCTCATCCCGAGTGCCGGTGCCCACTTCCAATTTTAAACTGCACTTAGACACTGAGGGCTGTGGGTGCAAGTGGGGTGGTGTGGTGGCATCAGCTGGCGTATACCAGACGATGCCCGCACTTCCAACGATTTATAGCATGAAGCAATCAGTTATGGAAATCCTGCTGTACAGCCTGATTGAAACGGAGCACAGCACCGCGGTGAAAGCGGATAACGGAACGGGGAAGCGAATTAGCAAAAAAAGCCGGCATGAAATTATGGAAATGCCTCAAAGAAAATCAACACTATCTATTAGGTGTCCCAGAAGACTTACATCTGAAGACAGTGACCACAAAGAAGGACAGATCTCCAGTGAACCAGGGTACGAATGCTTGTTCAGTCTTTATTTTTTATTTTTTATTTAAACAACCCTCAACTATTTGCTAATTGTAAGATTCTGTCACGCTGAGCTGGAGGTTTGGACCCAAAAACGCAGAAAATACCAGACAGGAGCAGATGTAAATAAGTAAATCCTTTATTTAAAGGAGGAGACTTGATCGAGCAATCCAAAAACAAAAACAGAAGCTCACAACTGAGCACTGACTCGGGCAAAACTCGGGAAGGACCAGAACAACGCAGACGCAACGCAATGGACCGACGAACACTGAGGGACAAGACATGGCTTTTAAACACAGAGGGAGGTGATCAGGGGAACAGGTGACAGGTGTGAGTGATCTCAGGAGGGAAGGCAGGTGTATTCAATAAACTAAATGGGAAAGAACAAAGCAGGAGGGAATAATCATGGGACATAAGAGGAGAACCTGGAGGAGGCTGGGGACAGAGGGACACAGAACATGACAGATTCAGCTTCATTCCAGCATTATTTATCTTTTTATGATAAATAATTATTTTTGCCAAAACAAAAGTTTTTGGTACAGCAGTGCACGGTGTGCAAGAGAAGCACCCCATGGCAGTGTGAGGTGTGCAGAGTGGGACTCTGCCTGCAGCTGGAGAGAAACTGCTTCAAGGCCTACCACATCAAAGAAAAACGTCTAAAAGTTTACAAAAATAAATGGTCTTAAAAACTGCTATAAAAGATACCAAGGCTCACACTTTTTTTAAGAATAGATGCATTACAGTTCAAAGTTTAAAGTGTTCATTCCAAATTGTTTGCCCAGTAATTTTGAAGTTCCTGCTCAGTAATAAATGTAAAAAATTCAAATACGTTTTTTGCTTTTTTCACTTTTATGCTGATTTTTTAAAGGCTTTAATAGAAATAAATTCCAAATACAAACCATACACTGAAAGCTGAGGTTGTTCTGAAAAAAGGAGAAGAGTTACACACACTTTGCACTTTTTATTACAATTTTACAGCCATAAGATAAAAAAAAGAAAAAACAGGCGGCCCTGTTTTAATTATGGTCATAAGAGGGTTATTCAGATGGTGATGCACAAACAGGAAGTGATTGGTAGTCATTCCACTCCAATCCAGTTGGTGGCGGTAATGCACCAAATTGTTGTTTGCCAAGTGCCATAAGACCACAAATAAGAACAAGAAGAGAGGCGGGAGCGTTTGTAACAAACAAATAGGTTCAATTCAGGAACAAACCCAGCATCCTCCTCGCCTGTCCCCAGCCAATCAGACATACCATCCTCCTCTGATCCAACATTTTCCTGTCACACGCCAGCTCTTTTGTCCTCTAGCGCAGCCATGGACTCTTCTGGTTCTATAAATCTGTCTTCAACCAAGTCAGGAGATGCTGTTGCCCCATTTACCTCCCCCCCTCACCTTTCTGTCTCTAGAAGTCAGGTGAAGAGGCAGCTGGAGAGACTGAACAGGAACAAGGCTGAAGGTCCAGATTATGTCAGCCCCAGGGTACTGAAAGCCTGTGCAGAGCAGCTCTGTGGGATTCTGCAGCACCTCTTCAACCTCAGTCTGGCCCAGTCCCTGACAACAGCATAAAACCGACCAAATTGCTTCACAGAAATTAAAACATTAAAAAACATTACACAACATAAAAATGCACAAAAACTAAAGCTTAAAAACTAACACTAAAAAGACAAAAATAAAAATAAACCTATCGTTATCATTAAAAAGAAGGAAGTTAGAGAACATGCGTTGCCTAACCTCAACGAGACAGTCTAACAGACACTGCAAAGCACGATTGTGGCCCCTCTTAAAAGGCACGTACCTGGTTATCATCTGTATAGCAGTGAAAATGACACCCATGTTTCTTAAAAATCGAACAAAGAGGTAGCAAAAACAGAGAAAACAGAAATGGGCCCAACACAGAACCCTGAGGAATCCCACAAGAGAATGAGGCATTAGAGGAAGTAAAATCCCCCAGTGAGACACTAAAGGTTCTGTCAGCCAGGTACGACACAAACCAACCCAGTGTGACGTACCTCTGATTCTTCTGTGCACAGTAAATGTTTTCCTCTGAATCTGATACTGCAGTAAAATCTGAGGCAACAAACAGTGTTGTTTAACATTCAGTACATTAATTAACATTTAATATCAGCTGCCTGACTTTTAATCTAATTAAAATGAATTAACAGGTATTTGCTCAGTAACTGTTGAATTCTGGGGTTTCTGATTTATATTTTATTACTGTGGTGTCACATAAAATTAATTGAATTGAATTTATTACGGTGAACTAGAAAGTTGTTTGATCATTAATCCAGCTGCTTCAACATAATTATAATTCATTCAGAGTTGTTGTGTTTCTGACCGCCTGATGAAGTCCTGGGTTGATTTTCTTCTTGCCAGTTTTCTCTTCAGGGAAATATCTGCTTAAAAACCACAAAGTGGTTTTCCTGAGGGACGAGAGATTGTAAATAATTTTGTTGCAGTAAAATTTTGCTGTTTCATGGTAACTTACTATGGATCAGCTTGTGTTTTCAAGCTGCTCTGATTGAACGGCAGCTCTAAGATGTGTCGTTTTTCACCTTTGACATTGTACTCTGGTCATAATAGAGTTGTGTTTGTTCTTTTTAATGTTGGACTCTTCAGACAAAATCCATATGGGAAAAAGAGGAGAAACAATTGAAAATAAATCAAATCACATATTTGAAATTTTCACTTGTTTTCTAAATCCCAAGAATCTGATCATATTCCCCATTACCACATGCTTAGTTTCAACGTAACTCAGCTCCTGATCTCCAGTACTGACTTACTTCCTATAGTTTTCACCAGCCATCTGGTAATACTAACGCTTTAGTGAGCTGCTTTAATCCTGTAATTGTCTTTGGTCAGGTGTGGTAGGCAGGTTAAATAAACCCAACAACAAATGACAAGGTTGTGAGCTCCATGACTTTAAATCTCTGAGTTGGTTTCACCTGAATTCTGTTTCAGACAAAAGACAACGTCAAGTTATTTGTGGGATAACATGAGTTTATCGTCCCTCACCTGCCTGTAGTGTACAGGTGAGTGACTAAGTTTAGCTTAACCACCAGGATGAGGTACACTTGGTTCAGAACACTGTATAAAGCTGTTCTCGTTCAGGCTAATGTTGATTAATGTTAATCTGGCTCAAACTGCCACACTTATTCTTTACTTTTTTTTTTTAAGTTTTGTGGCAGGGTATAGGTATAATAACGGGGTACTTATGACGGTACATAAAAGGTAAGTATGCATGGGAAGGTACCATGAAATTAAGTATCCCGTATATACCCTATACTTACCCTTTATTTACCCTTAGAAGTACCATAATTAACCTTTAAGTACCCCGCACATACCCACTATCTACCCTTGTTAGTCCCTGGTATGTATACCCTGTAGGTACCCTGTACTTGTCCCGCGCATACGTAATATGCACCCTGTTACCCTGTATGTACCTCTGTTATGACCATATACATACCCCTGTACGTACTCTGTAAGTACTCTCATAAGTACCACGTAGATATTTGCATAGTTACCATTTACCTACTCCAGTAAGTAATTTGTAAGTATCCTGTACTTTCCCTTGATACACTTGTTTATGCTGGGCTGTCATTTGGATTGCCACCAACAATGTTTGGGTTCAACTCAATAAAACTATTTATTTTATCTTGATATTTAGTTTCTAAAGCATTTTAACCGTTTTCTACTGAAAATAAAAACATTAGAACTTTTTGCTAAACAAAAAAAAATTTTTTTTTAACCTTTTAACCCCCTCTGTTTGGTTTTTGGTTGGCCAAGAACTGAACTGCAGTCATTATCATGCTGCTCATGCCTCCTCTCTTAGGGAGGGGTGATGGCCCCAAACATTGATGACACCAAACCAATCGAGCAGCATCATGATGTCTGAGGAGTTAATTAAACTGGCACGGTCATCGGTGTAAATATGTTGGGGTGTGTATGGATCTGACTGCATAGTTTGTGTGTGGAGTCAGTCGCTGCTCTATTGATCTTTGGGGACCCAAAGAGGTAATGACATAAATCTTTCTGGAGTGAGTTTAAACTTTTACACACTTCAAATTTTTTTTAGATTATTATAAAAGATGAATAAAGTTCATGCATGCCTTATATTAAAAACCTATAACTAATCTACCATAAAACAAAAACATTATCCTTCCTACAGTGTGTCACCATAAATGACTCATTGTCCTACAGCTTTGTGTTTATGCAGAACAGGAAGGATGGTGAGGTCTTTTGTGTGTGGAGACAAAATTTGAGTTTAATCTTCTGAGAGACATGGTGCCAAGATGGAGAGGTGCTTTCAAATCAGAATTCATCATTTATTATCGGATCTGTGAAATCCTCCTTTAGATAAATTATTTAATATTACTTGAAAAATACCGGTTTCATATATCCAGTGGCTAATACATCAAAGATCTTCTATAAACATCCTGTTTTGCATATTTAAATAGTTTGCATGTGACTAATTACTGTTTTGAATGTAAATCAGCTGGATGTGAAACAGAACAAATGAAAGGGCCTCATTAAATGCATGAATGCAAATGATCCGTGCTTCCCTTTTCTAATTCTCAACCATTTGTCAAACAGCTTCAATAAAGCCCTAACCGGTGAATATAATAGCAAACAGAATCCACAATGTTCCTAATTTAACTTATTTTATAATAAACTAGGATTGAGGTCTGGAAAAGTGGAAAATAGATCACCACCCCAATGTTATTTATGCACAAAACATTATCTGACGACAGCTTTCCTCCTTTTAAACAACTACATGCACATACACTGACCATTTAACACACCCACAGAGAAATAAATTCACCTTTTTGCCGTCTTCCCATCACTTATATCCTTCCTGACTCACTCCTCCAGACCTCCATCACTATAACTCCTGTGCACACACGCACAGTCAGCACACAGAGTGATTTGGTCTCCAAATTCCTGACAGCTGTTTGTAATGTGGTGAGAGGAGTGAAGTTCTGAGGTTTTCTTACAGGTTTTAAAGCACAAAGCACATTTTTATGATCATTGGAGAACTTGTTCTAATTTGCAAGAACATGTAAACAAACACCTGTGTTGTGTTTGTGTCTGTGCTCCACGGTCGAGTCCATATTTCCTTCTGAGAAAGGTAATAAGTGTTGGGTGTTGTAAACAGAATTTATAACACCACTGAGGGCAGGGATGTCGGTCATACCGGCCGATCCAAAGTCATAAAGAAGGAGATGAAATATGTGGTGGAGTTTGAAGGTTTCTGACAGAAAAGGTGAAAAACTGCTGCTTGCTTCTCATCAATAATTCCCAAACTATTTTAAGTCATAAATATCCCTCACACAATGAAATTCTGCTGGATTTTATTCCCGCTAATTGTTTTCCTTCTTTATGTTTATGTTTTTTTGGATCACTGTCTTCTTTATATTGCAGCTCATTAAAGTGTTGAAAAGTTAAGTTAAATGGCATCTGAAGGTTGTGCAGCAGAAAACATTCATAAGGCAGAGGGCAGGGATGTAAGAAAATATCAATATGGCAATATACTGTGATATTTTTTCCTGCATTATTATACTGATATTCAAAAGCTGCGTATACATTTTTTGGAAGAATTTACATGCAAACATTTGTGTATATATATATATATATATTTTTTTTCTTTTGGTGAAACTCAAATGCTGACTAGCTGGCAGCAGTGTGTAATGGGTTTTGTTTCCACCATTAAAATGTAAATCCCTCTATAATGGTTCAGACACCTCGTGTTTAACATGCTACTTATTGGTTTGGACACTTTATTGAATTTTCCTACAGTAATAATAATAATAATGCATTGAACTTACATAGCGCTTTTCTAGACACCCAAAGATGCTTTCACACACTCTCACATTCACACACTGCTAGTGATGGTAAGCTACTTGTAGCCACAGCCGCCGTGGGGAGGCGCCCTGGGGAGGTCTGACAGAGGCGAGGCTGCCATTTGGCGCCGTCGGCCCCTCTGACCACCACTAACACAGGCAAGTTGGGTGAAGTGTCTTGCCCAAGGACACAACAGCAGGATACCCCTGGCGGGAGCTGGAATCGAGCCCATGACCCTCCAATCATGAGGCAATCCGCTCTACCACCTGAGCTACTGCTGCCCCACAATAAATTCAGTCTAAAACAATCTCTAATATTGTCTGATTGTATCACAGCAAATGGTGATATATCACATTGTCTTCCCTGTATCGTGATACGGATCATATCGCCCGAATTTCACCAATACACATCCCTAGCAGAGGGTATTTGTTTTACAGATATGAGGGTGTAATGATTTAAATTACATGTTATTTAATAAGCCATAAGACGTAGAATTCCATGGGAAATATGAAATCAACCTTAAGGATCTGTTAGGTTATTTTAACCAGACGATTGGAACTTTTTATTGCAGGGATTAGATAACAGCTTCGTATTCACTCAGAGACAACAGAAGAGAGAGTCGAGTTTAAAAGTAGAAAAGTTTATTACTAAACAAATTAAACTAGACTGACTTTAACACTAAATGTATGGTGTAACTAAGGTGAATGAGACGG